TCTTGATAATGACACCTACTTGATAATGACTAAGATTTCCTCAAAACCAACAGTACCTTCACTATTGAAGGTGCTCAGCAACAGCTCTCTCTTCGATCCTGAGTACATCTGAACTGTCACAAATGTTGGCCCCATTGACTACTGCTATACTGGTAGCAGGGATTCTTTACCTCCAGTTCCTCCAACACAGAGATTTAAGAACTGCTCTACCGATTCTGCATCTGGGTGGAAGCAAGAGAAAAAATGATGGCAGCAAGAACCGCCCACTGTCCTTGGGTTTATCTTCAAGTGCTATCCGTGAGGCAGGCGTCATAGTTCTGATCACTTAATTTTTCCATTAAGACTTCCAACGTCCCTCTCTGTCAGTTTTTATTTACTTGCCCTGTCATCCAGTCAGAGGCAAACCTCCATATATTTTATTATTACAGTTTAGTTTACCATTGCATTAGGGTTTAGAAAATGCAGGAGGGCCAGTTGTTCTCCTCTAAACTTAATTCTAGCAGTGAAAAAGCAGATAAATTACAAAAGATATTTCAGTCCTCCAATGATAGTGAAGATGAGGATGAAAATAGTGGAGGACAAAGGGGTAAGGAGACCAGGAAAATGCCCGGCTCAAACCAAGAGAATGCAGAAATTACTTTAAAAATACAAAAAGGGGCACAGAGACTGGGCGGATGGCAGACTCAAACCCTAAACAGGAGGAATCCACTTCAAAAAATGTTGAAAAGGGTAAAGAGACTAGGTGGACACCAGACTCATACCCTGAAAATTAAGATAAAAGAACAAAAATTACAAAAAAGGGTAGAGACTAGGTGGCCATCAGACTCTAACCCCGAAAATGGTGATAATCAAACTAAAGGCCTTTACGGACTGCCAGGAATAATGCAACTTGAGTCCATTTTAACTGTCCTGGCTCAGTGCTAGGGAATCATGGGAACTGTAGTTTTTTCTGAGACATTGAGCATTATCTGTCAGAGAGCTTTGGTGCCACAATAAACTACAGTTCCCATGATTCCCTAGCACTGAGCCAGGACAGTTAAAGTGAACTCAAGTTGCATTATTTCTGGAAGTCTGTAAAGGCCCTAACAAATCCAAAAAATGAAAAGCTGATCAAATAGACCCTAAACAATGTGAAATTTACTGAGTTTAAGGGATAAAATGGACCAGCGGCAGCAGGTTGTCTGCATTCTGATAACAGCAGCCATTTTGAAACTCAGGTCCAACGAAGCCCAAGCTGCTATTTTGAATTCCTAGAAGTAAGCAGAAACTATATGGGAGAACAGCAGGCTAGCCAGTCGACAAGTTCCATGGCAACTGCAGTAAAAAACAAAAACATTATTAAGGTTAAAAATACTTTAACATCAGATAAAGCCAGTAAGGCATTAATAAAAGACAATGATAATGCAACACCTATAAAGACTACATTAGAAGTTGACACAGAAATGCAAAAGCAAACTGAACTAATTATTAATTAATAGATATAATAAAAGAAATTCCTGGTTTCAATAAAATAAACCAGAGAGTAATCAGACTCAACCACAAGAGGGAGTCAAGGCAGGTGTCAAGTGGACAGAGTAAAATGAACATGGAACTTGATATTCAATGTATGATTAAACAAAATATTGCATCAGAGTTGGCAAATATAATGGAAAGTGTTGGAATTGAAAAAATATATATATTCAGTATAAAAAAAAGTAATGTAATGTTACAGAAGGCAATGAAAAAACAAAAGAGGACTGCAGTCAAAGGAAGAAAAGGAAATAGTGTGAGACAGCTCAGATAAGGAGGTACCAAGCAAATGTAAAAAGAAAAACAAGGCATATGGAGGACATACGTTGTGACTCAGATGACAATATCTCATTAGAGGATTGCCCCTTCATGGTAAGTACAATCTCATTCCAAACCCAAGGAGAAAAACCAAAAGCTGCTTTGCTCAGCAGATTCAGGACAAAACTCTAGCATCACCAGTGGCTTTGCCAGATTTGGTACTAACCACAGAAGTACATTTGGTACCACCCATTCCAGTTGAATTGGACAGACCATCAGTATCAAGCACATCTAATCTTCAACCAGACTTTGCTCAGCAGCCTTCTGTTCTTCCTCCTCATGCTGGAGCCCTCATTATTTTGTCAGCAGACTGCTTCTACCATCTGCAGGACAGCACAGATCAACTTTCTGAAGTGAACATTTCTATGCATCTTCCCACCACTCTTATCAAGAGTTTCAACACCAAGAGAAAGAACTCAACAGATCAGTCTCTTACATGGGCCATTACCATTATGTATACCTATAGGGAACTTCCCAGATCATATTCTTACTCCCTTTCATCTAGGAATCAATTATGAGCCAGTGCACTACCACTTTCCACACTGCTCCTATGTACCCCGTACTGTAGTTCGTCCAAATTGCCTCATTCTCTGTGAAGCTGAAGACACAATCCACAACACATGGTTAATCCCTCATGCCAACCTGTTCAGGTGGGATCTCAAAATTCTAAACTGTTGTAACTGTCACCTCCAACCCCTCCTCAGTTTTATTTTCCTGCCTTGCTGACCAGTCAGACAATTTCCTTCTTTCATCTTAAATAAGCAACTAGCAGCAGAAATTTTAGAATGGCATCAGAATTAGGAAATAAGAAATCAAGTAGAGTTAGAGGAAGTCGCAGAATGGGACCATTTGCCATCTGAAAAAGACATCAAGCAGAAAATGACTCTGGCACATCTCAGACCTCCAAGATAGCAAGTAAGCAGTTCCCAGAGAGCAGTAGTGTAATTATTGGTAAAAGATTTAAGCATTCAGCCTGGTGAGCGACAAGTATCCAAGTCTGAATCTTCACAGAGATGCTTATCACCAATGCTTCACCACCACCTTCTATCACCACCACCTAAAACTACAGTGACTATATTCAGACTACCAAAATATGGTGGTCTCCTGCATCTCTCCTGCTAATTATGGTATTGACAACTGTTTCTCCAGTAACATGTGATCCTAATCCAAGTGTTATTACTTATTCGTCTGTGTCTGTTGTGGCTACTACTTCCTGTTGATTACCCAACCAACTACAGTACCTGTTGCTGCCTTAGCCCCTCCATTCACACCTGCACCATAGGAAAATCTTCCACCTGATTCGTCTGATTATGACTGTAACTGATTCTTCCTCACAGGCTTCACTTTGTCCTCTCACCTCACCTCCTGATGTTGCTGTGAATGATACCACCCTACCATTGCTTCTGGAAGACATAATATTGTTTGTGGACACATGGCCAAATCTTAGGATTTAGGTATCACAATTCTACCAATACCAGTTTCTGACCCAGTCTTCCATGGGGTGAATACTCAAGTCTTGATGCCTACCACAATACCTCTATTAATGGCTTTGTGTGACTTGATTAAACAGTCATGGCTTAAGCCAGCCTCACTAACTCCCTGTTTTGAGAATCTGTAGAGCATTCAAGAAGGAGCTGCTTTTCTCTTTTTAAACTGGCATCAAACTCTACTATCATGGAGGGATCTCAAACAAAAGAGTATAAGAAATTGCATTCGACATTGATCATGAAGGCAGGTGCTTGGATATCTTTGGTCAGTGTTTTTATTCTTCAGCAGCTCTTGCAGTACAACTGGCACAAGCATCTATGTCGGCTTACCAACATTTTCTATGGGGGAAAATGTTACCATTTATTCTCTATCTTCCTGACAGTCAGAAAAATGCCACTTTACTTTTCCAGCAAGAAGCCCGTGCTCTGGCAGCACAGCAAATACAGTTGGTCTATTGGTCCACCACACAGCTGAGTGCCCTCCTAAAGTTATGTCGGGAACAGTCCCTTTCCATCATTTCACATGACTACAATCCACAGGGCTTTCTGAAGACAATAGGTGTGGCATTGAAGATCTCCCATTTGATGAAGAAGACCTTTTCAGCTCAGAGACTGATGCTGCTGTGGCTTACCTTTTCAAGGCAAGATTGACAGTACAAAATATGAATTTTGATGTGCAACATTAAGAGCTACATCAGTACTGTTCTTCTTGGAAATGTCCTCCAGCATCATCTTTTTAAAGATCTAAATACCTGTCAAGGTCTTCATGTACCTCCTCTCATCAAACCACTTCTTTGCAGCAGCACCCTTATAAACAACACAGTTAGCAGTTGCCTCTTCTAAGAGGTCTTCCAGCTCATCAGAATCTTGACTTTGACACATTTCCAGACATCCAACCTTCCATCTCTCAGGACCTCTACCTTCTTGGGCTCCTGCACTGTACTGCCATTGCACCTGGCAGAACATCAATATTCACTCTTGGGTTGTAACCATTATTAATTTGGGTTACCCCATAGAGCTTTCAAGTATTCTCCCCATCCGAGTGTTATGCCCTACTCCTCCCTCACAAGTCTTGATAGACAAGATTGGTACTTTACAAAAAAGATATAAAAAGGATTCCAGATCACTTCAGAATAACTGTTTCCCTCCAGTTATTTTATGATGCTGTGGGGAAAAAGACGGACAGTAAACTCAAGAAAAGAGGTTTTTATTTAATTTTAAACCGACGGCACTATTGGGTACCTCAAAGAAAACTGTAACAAGCAAACAGGAACCTTATTTTTCTCCAATCGATTGGCTTTAAGATGATGCATAGGTGGATAATAAGGTAGGAAGATGACCCCCTATCCCACCCTCTTGCTGGTTGATTAAGCTCAAGGCACTAGGTCAGTATGTGACTATTTGTGTTAGCCTTAGTAAGCACATTCCAAGGCAGGGCACAACAGGCTCAACAGGTTTCTTAATGGTACTAAAGAGAGATGGTGGACTTCATCCCATTTTGCATCTTTGAGGTCCAAAATTTGGTAAATTGTTGTTGTGTGCCTTCAAGTCATTTCCAACTTACAGCAAACCTAAGGTGACCCTATTATGGGTTTTCTTGGCAAGATTTTTTCAGATGAGGCTTGCCATTGCCTTCCCCTGAGGCTGAGAGCATGCGACTTGCCCAAGTTCACCTAGTGGGTTTCATGGCCGAACAGGGAATCGAACCCTGATCTCCAGAGTGGTGATCCAGTTCTCAAACCACTGTACCACACTGGCTTTGTCATCTGGTAAATACACCTGTGGTCACCTTGCACTCCATTCTACCATTTTTTCAGAAGGGAGACTTGCTTGTATCCATAGATCTTTGAGGTGCCTGCTTTCATATTGGCATAAAGCCACAACGTTGCAGGTTTCTCAGTTGACTAGTGGAGCACCACTGGATGCTGTCTTAGGCCCTGCGCTACTCAACTTTTTTATCAATAATTTGGATGATGGAATAGGGGACATGCATATTAAATTTGCAGTAGATCTCAAAGTACAGACTTGTTCATAAGTGAGAATACAGTCATTCAAATAAGGTGGACATGAGCCATATAGGGCTTTATAGGTCAGGACTGGCACTTTGAATTTGTACCCTGACCGGCAGCCAGTGGAGCTGCTGCAACAAGCGAACTGTATGTTCCCTGTAGCCAGCCTCGGCAAACGTACTGCAGCTCTTTGTACTGTTTGAAGTTTCCGAGCACTCTCCAAAGGCAGCCCCACATAGAGTGTGCTACTGTAATCCAGCTGGAATGTAACTAAGGCATGTGTCAGTGTGACCAGATCTGATATCTCAAGAAACTGGCGTAGCCAGTGCGCAAGCTTTAATTCTGTAAATATACTTCTATCCACTGCTGAAACCTGAACTTCCAGGCTCTGAGTTGAATCCAGCACCAAGCTGTAGACCTGCATCTTCAGGAAGAGTGTAGCCCCATCCAGCACAGGCTTGAATCCCTATTCCCTGATCTACATTTCAACTGACTAGGAGCTCCTCCATCTTATCTTGATAAAGTTTCAGTTTGTTTGCTCTCATCCAGCCCATTACTGACGACAGGCACCGGTTTAGGACCAAAACACCTTTCTTGGATTGTGATGGAAAGGAGTAGTAGAATTGAGTATCATCCATATACTGATGGCACTGAACTCCAAAACGCCAGACTTCTATCAGTGGTTTCATGTATATGTTAAATAGCATTGGGGGGCGGGGGACAAAACAGAACCCATTGTCTACAGGCCAGTTGCCAAGGAATTGAACAGGAGTCCCCCAAGCACCATCTTCTTGGCTTGCCCCTCTAGGAAGGAAAAGATCCATATAAAACAGTGCCCCCCCCGTCCCATCCCAACAAGGCAATCCAGAAGAATACCATGGTCGATGGTATAAAAAGCCACCAAGAGATCCAGTTAGAAACCACAAGAACACATTCCCCCTCCTGCCAACCTTGCTCTAGTCACTCTCTATTATTATTTTTTAATTGCCACTAGCTCCCTGGAAAAGCAGGGGGTCAGTTTGGCACCATTCTGTGAGATGGGTTACTTGTCCACCACCCTGGTCTTTCTCCATTCCAGAGGTCAGACAGGTTGACAGGATCACCTGACAGGGCAGCAGGAATCTCCCCAAGAATCACCAAAATATATACTATAGCTGAGATCCTGCATTGGGATTGTATTGTGTAACTGCCTGTGTGAAGAGTTACACACTGATTTTGTGACACAAATATATTCTCCCATTTGTTTAATATAAATGTTCATTTTCTTTCTCACACTTATACAGTTCTTCCCTCCTTTAAAATACATGTAAGATGCAAGTCAAGTAGTATTCAACACAGTTCCAAGATTTCTTTATACTTTCCTTGCTAAATGTTCTTTTGCGTATGTTTATTTTATTCTGTTAGGAAATTATGGCCAATAAGACAAATGAGCTGTATCAGACAATGCAGAAAGCTCAAGAGCTGGCCCAAAGACTGAAACAGGAACAGCGTATTAAAGATCTGGCTCAGAAGGGACATGATATTTCTAAACTGCAGAAGAATCTTGGTAGTGGTAAGTACTAGGCATTTAAATAGGGTTATTGTACAGAGCTGACCAAGCATATGTCTCATTGCTGCTTAATAACTACACACAACTTCAGCAATGTTTGCTGTTTATAATGCTTGGTGATAGATTTTCAAAGACAATCCTTTAGGCCCCTTAATCGCCATGCCTTTACTACAGGGGTGGGCAACTGCAGCAGGTGTAGGGGATAATTTTAACCTCTATGGCTTTCTAACAATTTTTAGTTGAAAATTGCAACTAAAAGCAAAAAGCAAAGCAGCTTCATTTATATACCGCTTCATATCATGCTATGGGATGTCTAAGCGGTTTACATCTGTGAGCTAATTGCCCCCCAACAAGCTAGGTACTCATTTTAGCGACCTCGGAAGGATGCATGCCTGAGTCGAGCCTCAGCCCTGGCTGGTATTGAACTCGCAACCTTGTGGTTTATGAGTGAGTGGCTGCAGTTCAGGCATTTAATCACTGCGCCACCAGGGCTGATCAACTAGAAGTCATTTCAAGTTGCAGTGACCAGGTTTCTGGAGTTTAGGAATGGTTGGAATGGGATTCAGTTCACAGCTCTTTGACACCTCCAAGAGGAGTTGTTAACCATGTGAATGCCTGGAAAATTTAAATATTTTGGGAAGTCCAGGAGCTTTGAACAAGGGTCTCCAGGGAATATTCCTGCAGGGACTTGCATGCATTTCCCCTCCCTTTGCTATAATCCTAAGCACACATAATCACATTCTTCCACAGACTGCCCTGGTGTAGGGTTTGGAATTTCCAAAAGCAATACTGCTTCATAGTGAACTGTCTTAAGTGGTTTACAATCTGTAAGCTAATGGCCCCCAACAAGCTGGATACTCATTTTACCAACCTACAAAAGGATGGAAGGCTTGAGTCAACCTTGGAGCCCTGGGATCGAACTTACAACCTTGTGGCTGCAGTACTGGCATTTAACCACTGCACCACCAGGGCTCCTAAAAGAACTAGCAAGGAGTGATTACAGTCGGCCTTCAACATTTGCAAGTTTTTTCTTTCGTGGGTTGATTATTTGCAAGTCTATAGCAGTCTACAAGCCTTCTCTGTTCCACCTTCTAGGACGATTACATTGCTGCAAAAATCTCCTGCAGTGTCATCATCCTTCTCTCCATCTCCTTTCTTGGCCTATACCTCCCTGCCTCCTCACTCTGGCACAGTTTCACTTCTCAGTCCTGTCCCCCCCCTCCCAATTTGGAACTGGGTATGGAGTTCGTGTGCCACTGCAGCTTTCCTGTGGGTGGTATTGCTCTCACAGGCCAGGTTGACAAGACAGGCATGGAAGGGGGCATGTGTGCATATAGATGCCAAGAGAGGATCCCCAGCAGCAACACTGGGGAGCTGCAACTTATTTGCAGCCATTTTCTGGAATTTCTTTTATAGACACCCTACTCCTCCCCAGCTGGCCTTCTAAGCCAAACTTGGACGGGCACAGATCTCCTGGTCTTTCTGCTGTAACCTGGCTGCACCAGGAGGAGAGGCGGAGGAAATGTACCAAGATGGGAAAGGAGAGTGTGGGCTAAAAAAGGAGATGGAGAGGAGAAAGAGGAGCCCTGGTGGTGCAGTGGATAAATGCCGGTACTGCAGCCACATTGTTGTGAGCTCAATCCCATAGGTCAGTAAAATGAGTATCTAGCTTGTTGCAGGCAATTGGCTAACACTTGTAAACTGTTTATAGAGAGTGCATAGTTCACTATGAAGTGGTATAGAAATATAGGTGCTATTGCTAAGAGGAGGGAGGGAGAGAGAGGAATGATGACACTGCAGGAGATTTTTGCAGCAGTGTTGTCATCTTAGAAGGCAGAGGCAGCTTTGGAGTGAGGTGGAGATTTTTGCAGCAGCAGAGTCTGTGGCATGCATTTTTTTGGGTTGTTTTTTTTTTTAAATATTCATATTCTTTCCACTTCTGAAGGATCCTGTGGCCCTACACTACAAAATTTGAGGACCAACTGTAGACAAACTCTCTCATTTGCACTACGTTATTGTGTACTGCCAAGTCATTTCTGACTTATGGCAACCCTAAGACAAATCTGTCATGGGTTTCCTGAAACTGAGAGTGTGTGACTTGCTCAAGGTCACCCAGTGCATTTCTGTCATGGGTTTCCTGAAACTGAGAGTGTGTGACTTGCTCAAGGTCACCCAGTGCATTTCTGTGGGTGAGTGGGGTTTTGAACCCTGGTCTCCAGTCGTAGTCCAGTGCTCAAAGGGATGCATAAAATTGTAACTATAATTTAATAGTTAAGCAAACTGTAGCAAATAATGTGGCTTTCAGGGGTTGCAGTTTCTCTAGCAGGCTTTGGAAGGTCAGCTCACACAGTGGATTTGGATGAGTGTGTCTGTCTTAGCATGCCTGAGAAACTGTTCTTTTGTTAGGATAGAGTGATCCAATCTCTCCACCCCAGTGAAGGTGTCAGCACTTTTTAGAACAAGGAAAAATGATATTCAAAATTCAGGAAAAACCAGGCCACTGGTCTGGACTTGAGAGGGTGCATTCTCAACTATAACCAAACCCAAGAGCCCAGTCCGTTGTGGTAGCATCTAGTTCATTGTGTGGGCCCTGAGGAAAAGAAGTGATAATGGAGCACAGCTTCAATGATCTGAAGGGATATGAGCTAACTTTGTCTTTATATTTTATTGCTACATCCCACTTAACATTTGTGCGTACCATGGTTTCGGTGCCCTTGTGATTGTTTCATTTTGACATATCCTTGAGCCTTAATTATAGCCTGGGAACTGTGTGGGTCAGAGCCCTTCAATTTATACATGTAGCATCCACTTACCACTGTTTTCTCTTTGATGAATTTTAGATGTGAGGTACAGACAGGTTGCTTACCTGTAATGGTATTTCTTCTAGTGGTCATCTGCAAATTCACATAAATGGGTTATTCTGTGCCTGTGCAACAAACACTTGCAACAATGTGAGGCTGCACAGGTTGTGGCATTGGCAGTCGGGAAAAGGGGGCTTACCAAGCCTTCAAAATTGAAGATGTGTCAAAAAAGGAATATTCCAAGTGGAAAAAGGGCAGTGTCCTGATAAAGCCTTCCGAAGCCATTGAAGATTATGGCATCAGTAGACAAAGCCTAGAATGCTAAATAGTCTAGGGCTAAGTGTTCTTTTCGACATAGAATGTGAAATACACCATCTGTGCTTGGCAATAAGATGGTTG